TATATATATATATATATATATATATATATATATATATATATATATATATATATATATATATATATATATATATATATATATATATATATATATATATATATATATATATATATATATATATATATATATATATATATATCGTTCCCCTTGGTTTTGTTATTAAACCGAGAGGTATATGGTGCTAGTTTGAAAAATATAAAAAAGTTATTGTTTTGGTTCGAATCCATGAACATTTAAACTAACCCCTTCGTTATTTATAAAGTGATGGGTAAATTTCTCACTTTTTATGTCACCCTTCGTTACCTTGGCATTGTAACCGAGGTGAAATCCATTTCACATCCGACATGACATATGTTGATTGTAGTAGTGAAGGTTGATTCATTAATATAATCTCTTCTCTAGTAATTCTTTGTTAAAAATATTTAATGTTAGTTATGAAAGCATGAACGTAACTTATTAATGTTAGTTGTTGTTGAATCAAGTAAAATGCTTAATATTGTTTTTGTTTTTGTTGTTGTTGTTGTTATGGTTTTTGTTGAGATTTAATGTTTAATAATTCTATTAATTTTATTTATTTGTTGTTGTTTATTTTTTAGATTTAATGATTAATGATTCTATTGATTTTTTTTTGTTGTTGTTGTTGTCGATGTCGTTGTTGTTGTTGTTATTAAGATTTAATGTTTAAGGATTCTATTGATTTTGTTTGTCTTTATTGTTGTTGTTGATGATGATGATGAGGAGGAGGAAAATTTAGAATTTGTCAACAAATCTGATCTTTTGCAGATTAAAACGAAAAAATATGTTAAAACTAAAATTTTATAAATAGGGTTTTACCCTCCGATAATTAATTCCAACCGAGGGGAAAAGTGACGTGCTTTGAAAATCCAAAAAATAATGTTGTTGGGGATCAAACCCATGACCAATTCCACTTTTATCCTTAGTAGAACTTATCACGAGGAATAAAGTGGCAAGCTTTCATGATGTCGTTTGTTACCTCACTTATGAGATTGAGGTAAAATCATGTTTTCAACCAAGGTAAAAGGAGTTTTTCATAGTATTTTTAGTCTTGTTTGCAACATAATAACAAATACTTTAATTGTGTTGAATCTATTTCAAAAAGACACAGGATAAAAGATTATTATTTTCAAGAAGATACTCATCTGTAATTTGTGACTTGTCCAACTTCATAGTCATGTTCTCTAGCATGCTTATCAGTAAACAAAAGATAAATTAGTAAATGTTAAACCTAGTTTGCATTAGTAAATAAGCTTTCCCATTTTACATCAATAAATATTTAACCAAATCAGTTTTCCTTCTAAATGATTGGACAAATTAGTTTGCATGAGTAAATCAAATCATTTTAAATCAAATTTATGAACCTGATCAATTTACATCAATAAGTAAATCATTACATCATATACAACTCCATTGATAATTTATTTCATCTTCTACTACAACAAATGCAGTTGGAAACATTTGATCGTTGGTGTCTCTTCCAGTAACAACTAGGATTTTCCACCATAATGCCCTTTTAGAAAACAACCATTAAATCTTATTATCGGCCTATAGTTGATAAAAACTTTCCTATCCCTTGAATCATATGTAAATTCTCTAAAAATTTGGGTACAATGACCTCTCAAGATGTCATAGATCATCCTCTCCACCTTGGTATGCTTGAGTTGTTACCTTCAAACTTGAACCAAGATTTGAACTCAATAAGTCATAACCATAATCATACATCATTGTGTCTTATTTCTTAAATAAACCATCAACAATACCAATAACAAGTTATTTTTTTGTACATATTTTTATCTTGTTGATCCTTACATTCCATTTTGTCTTGTATAAATTTTGTTTCGTATAAGAACCAAAATCGTGATTGGTTTATGATGATGGACTCTTTATATGTTGGTATGGATCACTGATACGTCATCATTAGGGTGGACATACAAGGTTAGCACTCTAACATCCAAGTCAGTTACTGAGTTCAAAATGAGTAAAGTGTAAACCTGAAAAAAAGAGTTTGTACCTTATATCTTATGTATACCGGTTATATACGATGGACAATATCAATGGACTTCACCTTATTGGGCTTATCACTTGGGTCTCACCCGTATTGGGCCTCCAGAACAAATTTATGTTTCCTTTTTTCTTTGCCTTTTATTTTTGCTCCTATTTTCTTTCTTTTTCCCTTTTTATTTCTCTTTCCTTTTTTCCATCCTTTCATTTTTTTTTTCATTTTTCATTTCCTTTCCCATTTTTGTTGGGGGAGATTTTCATTAGGGGAGCATTGTGAACTCACACTTGAGGGGAAGTGTTGAGAATAATATAACAAGTGTGAGTTAGAGTCCTACATTGATTATAATTATGGAGAGTTGAGCATTTGTGGTATTAGATACTGGTTCAAAGAAGGGACCAACTTACTTGTATCGAAATGGTCATGAAGAGGTGTCCCGTTGAAATCGTAATGCCCAGAAAGAGGTGTATCAAAATGCCTAGTAAGAGGTGTCTAATAATAGGTGTCAACGGCGATACAAGTGTATGTGGACAAAAGAGATTCCACTTGAGGGGGAGCATTATGGATTCACACTTGAAGGAGGAGTGTTAAGAATAATAATATGTCAAGTGTGAGTTGGAATCCCACATTGGTTATAAGTGTGGATAGTCGAGCATTTATAAGTGGGAGAATCCATACACCTATCACCTTAAGGTTTTGAATGAATATATGGTGTCTCTCTCACTTGTGTTTCTCTTGATCTAGTGTTCAATTCTCCATAGTAAAAAGCTCCCCGAACAAATGGTATCATGAATCTTTGGTTCGAGAAAGGGACCAACTTACTTGTATCGAAATGCCCAGGAAGTGGTATTTCGTTGAAATCTAAAACTTCATTGCCACATGTACCAAAGAAGGTTCAAACAGAGTTGACATAAATGGAAAGTCATATAAGATTAAGATGTGTGGAAGTAAGTCACCTATGAAGAAGAAGAAATTAACCCCAAAGAAGAAGATGAAGGTGAATGTGAATGGGATGTCACCTGCTAGGAAATCAAAAATGTGAGTGATGAATTAGGTAGTTCAGACCCAAATGCTTCTTAAGATGAGAAGTTACCTAAATATGAAAAGTTTAGGAAGGATCAAATTGGGGAAATTATGAATACAAGCTGGGTATGGAATGTCATTCATTGTCTGATTTCAAAAATGCCATTATTGAATGGTCAATAGTAAATGGAAGGTAAATTACATTTTTCAAGAATGAAAGTAATATGGTAAGGGTGGAATATAAGGGCAAATGTGGTTTTTTGGCTTTATGCTTTAAAGTTGATGGGTCTCTAACTTTTCAGATAAAAACATAGGCTGGAACCCACACTTGTGCTAGTGTTTTGAACAATAGAAGTGCCTAATCCAAGTTGGTTGCAAAAGTTATGGTTATATTATGCAAACCTGTGAGAATGTTAGAATTACTGATATCATGCAAGATATGAGGAAGAATTACTCAGTTGGGATAACACTAGGTAGTACATGGAAGGAAAAGGAAATAGAAAAAGGAATAGCTAAAGGAAATGCTACTAGACAATATGCCATGATTTGGAGGTATGAAGCTAAGTTAAAAAGAGTTTGTGCAGGGAATACTGCAAAGATTAATGTGAATAGACCCAATCCTTCAATTCAACTTAGGTTTGGTTCTTTCTACTTTTTCTTTGATGGTTGCAAAGAGAGTTTTACAAAAGGTTGTATGCCATTTGTTATAGTTTTGCTATAAGTTCCATAAATGGAATAGACATGTGGCCTGAAGTTGATGCAGATGAATTACACCCTCCTTTGTACAAGAAAGGACCTAGGAGACCAAAACAATTAGGTTTAGGGAGTTAGGTGAAGGTGGATCAAGAATAAGGAGAGTTGGAGTGACTTATAGATGCACCAAATACGACAAAGTAGGCCGTAACTCAAGAAAATGCAAGGAAGCGGTTCAAAATCCAAAGGCTTTGAAAAGAAAGGTAAGAATTCCTTATTGTCATGTACTTAATTTTCTTGTGTAATTAGTTGATGTTAATATTGTCATAATTTCCATTTGTATAAAAATACACCTAGACACTATGCAAAGAATGCAAAAGTCATTACTGGTGCAGTTGAAGTACCCCTTGCAACTGGTGCAGTTAATGTATCCCTTGCAATAAGTGGAATTGTTGAGGATGGAGATGGCACATTAACATAATAAACTATTGCCTTGTTATGTTGTGATTAGTATAATGTAATTAATTAGTATGACAGTTGGTATAATGTGTTTAATTAAATTTTGTTTATTTAGTATAAGAGTTGGTATAGTGTGGTTAATTAGCTTTTGTTTAATTAGTATGACAGTTGGTACAATGTGTGCTTTTTGAATGACTACTCTGCCTTATCATGTAATGAAAAGTAATATTGGTTCAGTACTCATTTTGAAGCAATATGATATTGAAAAGTAATACTGAAATGCTACTCAAACTGATATTGAGAAGTAGTACTAATTTGCTACTCATTTTGAACCAAACTGATATTAATAATTAATACTGAAATGCTATTCAAACTGATATTGAAAAGTAATACTGGTTTGCTACTCATTTTGAACCAAATTGATATTCAAAAGTAATATTGCAATTGAACCAAACTCATTTTGTGAGCCAAATTGATATTGAACCCATTTCATTTTGATAACTCATTTCGAGACAAAACAAATATTATACCAAGCTGATATTTAATCAAATTAATATTTGTACCAAATCATATTGAAACAAACTCATTCATTCATTCATTCATTAAAATATCAAACTGATACATTGGAACATTTACTTCATACAAGTACAACAACACATACATTGAAATGTCAAATTGTAATGAAACAACTACAACATATTAAATACAACGGCAAACAACACCCGTGCCACTATTAGTGCAACACTTAACCAATAGCTTTTGTTTCTTTCATGTTGTAGATTCTTCTTGTTTTTTCAAGCTTCTTTAATCAAGATTCCTTGGCATACTCCTTCCCAAAATCCTTTGCAAATTCCTTTCCAAACTCTCTCAGGGAACCAATCATGTCTTCCCCTTTGTTGCAATCACTTGCTAAGTTATTGTCAACTATCTTAATTCCAGATTTCCACTCAATTTCATCAAGCTCATCATCCCAAATAAACAAATCGCAGCTAATTCTTGTCTGCATTTGAGAAACAAAGGAAACATGTATTTAGGAAAAAACAAAAAATAAGAAACATTGTTACATGATTTTCATACCTTTTGCCAATTCCTGCATCTCCAAAATTTCCTCTTGGGATTTTTCGACGTATTTGAGACCCAAATCTTCATGACCTGATTGCAACCAAATCTAGATATTTGTCTTCCATTCGAAGTACCAATTGAGGACGATTTGTTGTATGCCATTTGCAATCCCTAATACGCGTGAATGAAGAAGGTAGAAGATGGATTAGGTTACACATGAATGAAAATGGTAGAATATGAATTATGATTGCGAAGAGGATTAGTGGTAACATGATGTTTTGAACATTTGATACATGTGGCAATGAAGTTTTAGATTTAGTCAACACCGACTTGCCACATCAGTTCCTCAAGTGAATCTGACCCCTAAAAGGTTTAATTCAAGGGAATCTTCATGTGGCAAGGTTGTATTTTTAAGTCAATGCATTCTTCTCACTTGCATCATCTATTTTAGAATTGCAAACTAGTCTTGCATTTAATCCATCATTATAATCTAGTCCCTCATTTAATCCATCATTATAATCTAGTCCCTCATTTAATCTAACATTGAAACCTAGTTTCTTATTTATTTCAAAATGATACTCTTGTCTTTCTTCTATTGCATTAGTTGTCTCAATTCCATAAAATATCCTAACTTTGTCATTTTCAAAAATAGTATGCCCATCCTCACCATTAACTACATTCAATTTCGAGAGATAATTGTCCAAATCTACTTTAGTGAACCCCTTTTTAGTAGTAACCTCAATCAATACAAGTGAACCATTGCCCAAATCTTTTTCAAAAAGCCATATTGTCGCTACACGAAAAATGACACAGAGTCGCCACCAAATTTTATTTATCCCAAGGAGGGAAAGGGAAATAACGATAAAACCTTTGGGAAAAGAGCATGGTCATCGCAACCAAGTCTTAGGATTCGGGAGTCGGTTATGTGAGGGGAAGGTATTAGCACTCCCTCACATCCATCGTACTCGATGGGAACCTTCTAGGTTGTTTCGATTGAATGGGTGTTTTTATTAAAAGTTTGCTTGCTAAAAAGAAAAGAGGGGTTGTTTTTTTATTATGATGCTCGCCAAGGATTGTGGCCCTTGTGCCTACGTATCCTCACTTAAAAGAAGTGAAGAATCAGAGCTCCGTAGTTCGGAGGCTTGTGAAATGGTTGTTTGTTGGTTGATTTTATACCTTGAAAAAGGGTTTTCGGATTGATGCCCTAAGGCGAAAAGAAGTTTGATGAGTTGACATTATTTTTAGGTTTTTGAGATGAGATTTTTTTTTTGATTAGGATCATACTAAAGACTTTGGATAGAGATGAATGTTTCGAATAACCAAGTCGAGCGCCTTGTATTCAAAACATTCGGAACGAGTGTAGGAGGGTTCCATTCTCATTTCTTCTCCACCACTTTAAAGTTTATGGTGCATGACCTTAATCGTATCTTTATTGTATTTTGGGATTTTTTATGATAAAAATACCACTTGATGTTGGGTCAAGGGTTTTATTGTTTGTAAAAATATTTGAATTGATGCGAACAAGGTCGATGGCGAATGCATAAGGCGGTCGACTTACAAGGGTGAAAATGGCTCGATAAAATCGAGAGTTTATTTTTGAAAATAGTTTTTAGAACCAAAAGTCAAAAATGACCACAAACATCCGCATACAAAGGTCGTGCAACCATATCGGGTTAGTCGGCTTGAAACAACATAAAACACAAAAAACGGCATGAAAAAACTAGAAAAACTAAGGGAAATTCGCTAGGCGAAGGTTGTAGCGAAGCTGCCCAGAAACAGCGAGAAGTTCGCTAGGCGAACTCCCCAGCGAATGAAAATAGAGGCAAAAGGGGACAAAGTTTGCTAGGCGAACCTTGCAGCGAAGCTGCCCAGAAAAAACAAACAGAAGTTCGTTGTGCGAACCACCCAGCGAACGAAAACAGGGGCGAAAGGGGACAAAGTTCGCTAGGCGAAGGTGCCAGCGAACATGACAGAAAAAAAACAACAAGAAGTTCGCAAGGAGAACTTCATGTTGTTTTTCCCAGAATATGCCTTTTTATGGAAACATAGGGAAAACAGGGCAAAGTTCGCTAGGCGAACTCGCCAGCGAACATGACAGTAAATATGAGTATACTTCAACTCATCTTACTATGCCAACTAACCTATGTTCTTTCTCTTTTTTTTTCTTTTACAACATTTTTTAGGTCATATCAAGACCTTATTACAACATATACAACACAAAAATCACATAAAGTAAAGCATGCAAAAACATGTAAAGAGTAAAGGGTTTGAGAGAAAGGATACCCAAGAGCTACTATCTTCCTTCACCAATGGATTTTGTTGGGTATGCTTTGTGGTTCACCTCCTTCTTCTGGTTTTCTAACACTCTTTTGTTCTCTCAAGGTTTTCTTTTCAAACTCTTTTTTTTGTTTTTTCTCTTACTCTCTTTTTCTGATTTTTCTCAATGTTTCTTGCTCTCAATATCTCTCTATGTCAATGTGTAGTGAATGTGTGAATCCCGTTTTCTACTGGTATTACTTTTCTTTTGTACCCAAAGCATTAGGGTTTGCACATGTCTTTAAACTTCAGAATTTCTACACTTAGAAATGTCCAATGCCACTTTCTTGGTGCACCCTTTTCCTCTAGAAATCTTACTTTTCTGCTACATTTTTGCTGCTGTACCAAAGTAATGGGTTTTGCACATGCTTCAAGTTTCAGAATTTCCATACTTGAAAAGGCTTATTACCACTTTCTTGGTGCAACTCCATTTCTTTCCATTTCTAGCATGCTGCTTTTTACTTTTGTTGCTGCACTTTCCTAATGCTGTCTTTTTTTGCTGCCCTCATTTTATTCACTTGTTCTTGGATTGTACTTGTGGTCCATGCCTCTCCTTTTGACAGCATTTTGAAGTTCTGAATTTTGGCATGTAAGTGAGACAACATGATCTAGTTCCTCAAGTTTTGTGACATGGTTTATTTGGTTGGAAATTAGTTGGTCATGGGTTGTTTTGGATCAATTTAAAAATGCCTTGAAATTGCCCATGAATAAGCATAAATGGTTTTGCTTTTGAAATGCTCTTAATTATTTTCCTTGGATATTTGTGGGTTTAATTGGTTATGAATTATATGTAGCACATGGAAATTTGATGAGGCATGAAGGGTACCATAATATGAAATTAGTTAGAAACTTGAATTAAGACTAGAAATAGCTTAATTTTCTATCCATTGCTTAGAGTTAGAAACTTTGCAACAAATGTGACATTCTTGGAAATGTCATGAAATTTCTTTTTTGTAAAATTCTTGAATCTAATCTTGAATTTAATCTTGAATTCATGAATTTTGAATTTGGAATGGTGAATTTCCCTTATACCATTATTTGAAATGGATGAAGTCTTGAATTAGACCTTGCACTTCATTTTCATTAGGAATATTGATCTTGAATATCCTAATATTTTTCAAGTAACTTCTCCTTGAAGGAATCTACATGAGTAGACTTTTCATCTTAGATCAAACCTTAGATGATGAACCTTTTCTTCCATGTAGTCCAAGATAGGCAATTTATCTTATTCGAAATGGAAAACAAATGAACCAACCTAATCCTTACCTTGTGAACCCACGTGCTCGATGTGATAAAACGATGTATGATATGGCAAATGTAGGGTATGAAAGGATAAAAGTGAAAATGAGGGTGTGACACATACAACACTATATTCATGTTAATGAAATTTCTTTTAAAATGTTTGGTTGTAATAGTGGATGAACCACATATAAATGCAAATTTTCGTGAATTAATGCAATAATTTTTATCTTACTTGTATCCAAAGGTCTTAAAAAAAATCATCACAATTTTGTCCATGGAATCATAAAACCACATTCTCTCTACAACTTAGACACCTCAAATTCTTCGATCTACCTACTTATTACTTTAAAATATAAATAGTAATTTAGATCACATGTCCACAAAGCCTAAATCCCTTTTGAATTAAAGTGATTTACTAAATTCTCTCTTCCAAGATATATGACACACTCAAATTTACTATCCATCATAAAAACCAAAACCAACATTAAAATTAGCAGAAAAGTGAAAAAAAAACTTTAATATAAATCATTAAATAGAACAACAATGGCCTAACGAAAAAAAGTTAAAATTTGATGATAAAATGTAACAAAAATTGTGAAGTGAATGTGATTTTGTATTTGTTATGTTATTTTAGTGTACTTCTAAGAGATATTATATCTAAATTCCGTTTAGAAAATGCAGCGGGTGAAACATGAACAAAATGAATGTTGAGTCCTCTTTATCAAACAAAACCTTTCAATTTAAGATTTTTGTATTACAACACTCAACCCTCGTCGTCTTCGTCTAAAAAAAACATATTTGTTCAAACATATTTGTTCAAATGCTGAGTTATAATAAACTTATTAAAATCATAAAATTTCACTTGTAATAACAAAGTTACAAAACTTAAAAATACAAAGGATCTCGTTGACAAATATAAATATATTTAAGAGACCTAATAATAATATTTATTAAATAAAAAGTTAAATTAAAAAATAAAATTCTTAATTAATGAATTAAAGTTCTAATTGAAATAAATTTTTATATTTATAACATATTATTAGTAATTGCAGTTTATTATTATGGTTTTTTTAAAAGATAGTTTAATTCTTAAATCATTTTTAAATATTCATATTAAACACCTCATATATTATATATAAATAAATTATTTTTTCTTCTAAATATATATTTATTTACTTTATTGCATAAAATTTTTTAGAATATAATTTAAATTTTTAATTAAAAATCAATACAATCACTCAAAATTACTCAAAATAAAATAAAGTGTTATAGAAAAATGAATAAAACACGTTTTTGAATTAGTAAAGCATAAATATAATTATTGAGGAGCACTATATTCCTTATGGATAGACTTGAGAGGAGGGAGAAGTGAGAAGATGAGTTTGGGTTTCAGATTACAGCTGTATGTAGTTCATCAAACAAAAGTAGTCAAAAAGACTTTCGACCCCACTTGCATATATTATTTAAAAATCTTGCATTGTTTTTTAGTAAATATTTTTTTAAAAACGTTTGTTGTGTGTCAAACAGCTCAAATTTTCCTGTCATGTCATGTTTTAAACACACCCAACAAAATTGTCCATTAACCACTTCTCCCTCTAATACTATTTTATTCACTCACCGTCTTTAATTTCCCTGCCCTACTTATTCAGTACGAGAATGATTTTATGATTTTTATACCCTCTTTTATTTCCAATTTTGTGCTATTTTTCTTGCTCCCCTATATTCACACCCCCTGTATTTATTTACATTATTACTCTCTCTATACACTCTACAGCTGTGAGTGGTACCAATCCTATTTGATCTAGGTTACTCTAATTTTTATTCTACTAATAACTCCAAATTTGTGCCTAACTGTTATCATTATAAATGCTAAAACAGTAAGAAGAAAATGACCAAATAACAGTAAGTGTTGATTTTTATAATATAGATAATAAAGAAGTGAGGAAATTTCAATGAGGACAGAACGGTAAAAAGTGAGAAAAGAAAGAAGAAGACAAACATGAATCAGAGTGTGCCAGCCAGAAAGGTTTCTCAAATACACATACCCAAATCAAATCGCATCTAATCTATAGAGTCATTGTAATTAGACTCTCTCTATAGTCTACACCCACCAACTATACAAAAGCCTAGTTTCCTGGAAAGTACCCTTCCTCTCACGGTCATACCCTAACAATACCTTACCCCAAAAATATTAATTATTTATTATTATTATTATAACTTGCATGCACCTTTATATTTAATTAACCACCCATTCACTCTTGTTCTTCTCTCCATATATAAACAGAATTATCACTTCACTCTATTAGTCCTTCCATTTGCACTTTCTATTATATCTCAAATTACAGTAATACGATGAATTTGAATATGAATTTTGAAGCAATGAATAGAAGCTCTTCTACTACAACTTCTTCTTCGGATTCTTGTTCTTCAGAATCCAATCCGTTGAATCGGAGCAAAGTAGATAGGATCAAAGGTCCGTGGAGTGCGGAGGAAGATAGAATTCTAACGCGGCTTGTTGAGCAACACGGAGCCAGAAACTGGTCGCTTATTAGCCGGTATATAAAAGGGAGGTCCGGTAAGTCTTGCAGACTCCGCTGGTGTAATCAGCTGAGTCCAACGGTGGAGCACCGTCCATTCTCGTCGCAAGAGGATGAAACAATCATAGCGGCGCATGGTCAATACGGTAACCGTTGGGCAACCATTGCGCGGCTTTTACCGGGTCGGACCGATAATGCTGTGAAGAATCATTGGAACTCGACGCTTAAGAGAAGAGCAAGTGTTGGTCGCGGTGGTGGTGGTAGTGATAGTGGTGGTGGTGATTCTGTTACGGTTGCCGGGGGTTTGGGTTTGGGAAATTCTTCCGGTACGTTTGCTCGATCTTGTTTTCCGGTGGAGGATGATCCGTTGACCGCGTTGACTCTTGCTCCTCCGGGGAATTTTTATGGCGGTGGTGTGGAAGAACAGGAGGAGGCGGTTGCGGATCATCAACCGTCAACGTCGCCGGAAAATGTTCCGTCGGCGTTCTGGGATGTGATGAGAGGTGTGATTGCAAAGGAAGTTAGGGAATATGTTTCTTCTAATTTTTCTCATAACAATGGTTTTCATTGAGTTAATTAATTAGTCAATAATCATAATCGATTATTTCTTTGTTCTGTTAATTAGTATTATTTTAAGGAACTTAATTACTCTGCACTTGGATTTTGTTCTGCTTAATTCGGATTCTAATTCTGTTTCTGGATTAATTTTTCTTCTTTACTTTTTTTTTTAATGTGGCTAAGCTAAGCATTATTTTACTGCTGGCAAGCACTGGCCTTTAATTACTGTATTATTATATTTTGGAGTAAAACATTATGTAACAATAACTGAATATTGTACAATAACTTTCCATATATATATATAATTAATTAACGGTTGGAAATTCGTCAATTATCTGATTCCTGTAGAAAATGCGGCTTAAATAATTAATACAAAAAATATTACTTGTTCATGTAACTTTGGCAACAACATTGGACATGACAAAATACATTTTCATGTGTTAGCATTCTGTTCTTAGTGTTTGCTAAGAAATTATATATATATTTTTAGTTTAGCATTAAATTTAGTATTCAACATTATTACTCAATTCATTTTAACAATTACTATAACATAAATTATGATATAATTTTACATATTTTTTTATGAAAAATTGATTTTCTGACCAAAATTCAACTTATTAAAAAATTCATTCTTGATGAACAGACTCTTAAATTTTAAATATTCGCTCCGAGATTTTCAATATTTTTTTTTACTTTACATAATTAATTAATTTAAAATTAATTTTTAATAGTACATTACATATTAATATTATTGAATTATTTATTAAGATTAATTATATAAAGCATTTTATATTTAAATATGTTTATTTGAAAATGAATAGAAGTAAATTTAAAAAATTAGAATTAATAATTTTTTCCGATTAATATTTAAATATAGTCTACATCTCTTGAAACTAATGAACTAAAACATTTTAAGCTCAATTACTTTTGCCGATTAACAAATATACAACTTTTCATATTTTTTTCCAGTCTCTTGTATCAAATAGTAACGCATTATTGCTTTTTATTCAATAAATAATAAGAATACATTATGCTTTTTCTATTTTTCGATTCTTGTCTCCTCCCATACTCTTTTTTGTCTTTATATCTGATTTTACTTTCTTCTCCCAATTGAGAGTGGGAGATGTTGAATTTGCAACTGGCAAGAGGTTGGAGCCACCGCCCCAACCTGGCCCAATTAAGAAACTTTCTTTGTATGTGTGTTGAGACCATTGAGATTCTTTTCATCTTTATTTTACTACTATTACTATTATTACTACTGCTGCACCCCACTTCAACGCGCAAAGAGGCTATGCAACTTGGAAGTGATATTATTACGTGGCTACATAATCAACAAGATTGTGAGTACAGACAAGGTTGTACGGTGTTTGTTGTTTAGTTAAAATACAATCGAATCTCTCCGTAAGTAACAGCATAACCTACGGTTGTACGAATATGAGATTTATGATATTCTGTCCATACCTAGGTGAATATTAATAATTCATGCCCTACTTAAGCCAAGAGGGGTTCGTGTTAGGTAGTAAGACGAAGAAATCTCACATATCTTCCAACAATAAATTTAAATAAGTTTGTTTTAGATAGGCATGGCAAAAAAACTCAGACCCGTCGGGGCCCGCCTGGACCCGCCCCGAAATTAGCGGGGAAAACCCGGTTTGAGTGGGTACGGGTGCGGGTGCGGGGAAAATCCGATTTTTAATTACGGGTGCGGGTACGGGTGCGGGTAGACACTAAGACCCGCCCGCACCCGGCCCCGCCCCGCCCCCGAATAATTTATTTTAATTTAATTTTCTTATTTTACTTATTTTAATATTTATTTATTAATTATATTTTTAACTAAATTATTAATACATTTATTGCAATTAAAATAAATAAATTAATCAAGTTAATATTCATTTACTAATTAAAATTTTAATTAAATAAATAATTAATTTATTAAAATAATCAATTTTTTAATAAAGTTATTAATTTTTATTGTAATTAAAAATAAAAAATTTTTTTCGGGTGGGGGCGGGGCGGGTGCGGGTGCACCCGTTCTCTACTGGGGGCGGGTCTGGGTGGTAAATTTTTACCCCCGGTCGGGTTTGAGGGCGGGGGCGGGTGTGTTACATGAAAGCGGGTGCGGGTGCGGGTATAGTAAAACCCGCCCCCGACCCGCCCCGTTGCCATCCCTAGTTTTAGATTTTAAAAATAGATTTTTTTTTATTTTTAAATTATTTTTTTATAAAAATGTTTTTTAATTAAGACAATTTTTTAATTTATTTTTTATAAATTAAAAAAATTAATTTTGACATTTTATTCCTGTTGCAGAATCAGAAATGATGATGATTGCGAAAGCTACAGCGGAGCGAAACTTTTGATGCGACATCGTGGATGCTTCTTGAACTAGAGAGATTGGTCTTGATGTGATGTCATTAATTGGTGTTTATTGTCTTCGATACAATGGACTAATGAGAGTACCTGCATGATTAGCACTACAACACCCAAATCAGTTTTGGGTTCAAGATAGTGGTAGTGAAATTGGATATTAAAGATTGTGTACATGGAAATACTTTACGAATGTATTTATACCTTTGGCCTAACGGATTAAGCTAGATAATGAGCCCCGTGCTATTGGGCCTTTGACCGACATGGGGTAGTAGATCCTGGGTCTTTGCCCGAAACAGAATAGTTGTCTCCAAGACTCGTCAAACATGTTTGATGTTGGGGGAGTTGCTGATGCGGTAAAGCGGCAAACAACAAAAGTTTTTGGAAGTATTTATCCGAGAAATTTATCGTGTCGACATAGATTAGTGTTATTGAACTATCATTCGACAATTTAAATGTTATTGAGTTTGGGTTTAAAATGAGTTTAAAGTAAATGCGTGAAATACAACTTATGAACAGAAAAAGAATTCATTCTTTGGATATAGAGAACTCTCAAGTTTGCATTTCATCTACCCTATCAAATACTTAAACTTACTACCCAGTTGTACGTAACATAAATCACTCGTCAACATTATCACGTATCTCTCACATAGAGGTTATCTCTAACACAGAGTAAGACAACAACAGTATTACTCGCGTCGGCGATCTCTCAGCGCAACACAAACAACACATAAGCATTAAGTTTCGATACTCAAGTGAATATTAAGCTTAAATCTATCTCTAGAATCTAGAACCTAATAGATGTTCATCCTAAATCCGGATTCAACCCGTCCATGTCTGCAACAACTCAAACCCAAAGCAATCATCAATATTAATTTGTAAAATGAGTTTTATACAACACCATGAGAAATAAATATACATACAATCAAGGTAAACTTACATACAAACTCACAACAAATTGAAACTACAAAGGGAAGAGAGAAGAGGAATCAAAATCTCTCGCGTTGTCAATCACGATCCAAGAATCATCCACCCCCAATCTTCGAGTTGCAACCTCCATTGATGTTTTTCTAAGCTCTAAATTATCAAAAGTAAAGGTTTGATGAATTGAGAACAAATACCTCGAAACATAACCTAAAAAATATGTTTTTTTAGCCCTTTTAATGTGTTTCTGCCTAGGAAAATTCGTCCGACGAAGCCCCGGTACACCCGACGAACAAAGGCGGCATTTGCTACTGCCTCTGGTGCATTTCTGGCTCTTCTAGTTCACCTCAACTTTGCCCGGCGAGCTTGGGGCGAGAGTTGACAGTACGACAAAATCATGTGATCGCGACTTTCTATGTCTAACTGAACTGACTGCAAGTGCACAGTCTATCGCGTAGTAATATAAGATATCGATCCCACAGGGACTCGTAATCAAGCTAGTATTTTCGGGTGTTACTGTGTTTAGCTAGGTCGGTATGGTTTTAGGGGAATAAAAGCAAAATAAGTGTGTAAACTATAGGGGAACTAAAAACGTTACTTAAGGTATAAATGCGTGAATCGGTATGCAATATGTTGGTTCTTCAAGGATTCGACAAGTCACCGGTGTTTTGGGTGTTTTCAAAAGTAGCTTAAGAAGAGAATGACGGTTTAAAGACCTTTGTCTCACGATGGTTGTTGACGCTAGTCGCAACTCTAAGGCGAAACGTATGCTGCCGTTATCCCGTTTGCGGTTAAAATTACTTTTTAAAAACCATTAAGCTCTAATCCTTTTTAAAGCGTTGTCGCTATTTTTAAAACGAATGCTTAGTTTTTACTATCTGGACCTAACCTCAGTTGTCGCTTGTTGGTTCGTACCTTTATGAATTTCCCACTTTCGTGGCAAAACTGCTTTTAAATAAGTTCTCATTGTCGCGACAAACATTTATTTTAGAAAAATCGATTTAAAAACTAAAGCCATAAATAAGTTTGAAAAGGAAAGTATACACCGATTATTATCGAATCCCCTCTGACTACCTATTACATACCGATTACTTTAATTTAGCCGGACATGGAATATAAACTAGGAACACGTAAACAATGGTAGAATATATAAACATGCATCATAATGGGAAATAGAATTCAATTAACGATTATAATAAGAACCTGTAAATAATTCAATTGGCCTTTGGGAAATCCTCTAAAATGTCGGCAGGATTTAGTCTTGGTGCCAATTACTCGTACAGAATAGAATTCGAAAAGTAAAACACAATTGCAAGGAAAGGAAAAGGGAAACAATAAGAAATCTGGAAACTCAAAAATTGCTCTGAAAATAAATTGGCAGCACTTCGTGTCTTCAATGCAGCTCTCTTTTTCTGGTACCAGTTCCCTCCTTTTATAGATGGAACTTTCCAATGATTAGTTGCCTCAGGAAGTGGGATTGATCTCAGCAAAAGTAGGAGCTAGTGGTCCACTCCTTTTGGGATTTGAAAGCACTTACAGCACGTACAGGATTTTTGCACTTTTTGTCTGCATGACGGTCGTCATGGTTTTGTGACGGTCGTAACACGTATGACGGTCGTAATGGACTTGTGACGACCGTCACATCAGCAAAATTCGTATTTGCTGTTTTTTTGTCTGTTTTTCATCTGTTTTTCATCTGTAATTGCTTGTTTTCTTCATCTTCCT